TTTTGGGGGTCTTTTATGTGGACGGTAGTGCAAAGGAGCAAATTGAAGTCATAGCATTTATAAGGTATGCAACAAGGACCATTGCGTAGGAGCTTGTCAAAAAGACTAGTCGTTTTAAAAAGGTGACGGCTTCAAATACTGCCAAGCAACGGATAGGGTTAGGCATATGTGCAGGGTTGCTAAGAAAGTGCGGTTACGATCATATCAATAAGTCGTAAAATAAGACAGCACTAAGCAGTCAACACTGTCCGATTGTTTGGACACTCATTAATCATTTTTCCGCAACCATAATAGTAGCAAGGTCAGAAGAAAGAGGAGCGTTCACCGGGAGAGGTTAATTTTTATCTGACGTTTCGGATGGCTGTCCCGTCTACCCAGCTTCAGAAGGTTGGACCCAAAGTCGAAAGTAGCAACCCATGCTGCAGAGATGGGGCATGGCTTCAACGTTGACGCGATTCAAATTGTGGGCCGAGGTGATGGTCACACATCAAGGCAAAGTACAAAAGCCTGGATGACGACCGACTGTTCAGTAAACTACCGCATAAATTTACCGATCCCCTATGTTGTTTTAAGCAGCTTCTTACCAGGACACAGTCACGGCATGGAACAACCGGGGCTGCCAACGAACCCCACGGTCAACGTGTATATTCCTGAAACAAGCCGGAGCGCTACGGGGGCCGAAGGGAAGAATGTAGATAAGGGTCAAACCAACACACGCACCACGGTGACAGACGGGGTAAACGAGGAGGCCGAAGGCGAGGCGCGAGACACATACAATGACTCCCATGGGATTTGCAGAACACGGACACCGAAAAAGAACGGCATAAAAACGAGGACCATTGGCCAGAGTGTTCATTCTCTGAAGATGGGTAGACGAGACAACTACGCGAACCGTCAGTCTTACAATAAATCTATCCCAGTGAACGCCCTTATTTCTTCTGATTTACCACCTGGGAATCGAAATTACAACACTATTACACCAGCATCGTCATTCAGTAACAAAGAGATTAGCACGAAAGAAGTTTTATATTTTTACTAATGTCGTGAAACCGAGGAAATTAATGATGCAAAAAGTGTAGGTTTTACCGGATGAGGGTTCGTAGAATAAAACTGAAGTAAATAACTTCAAGGGTTTAATTAGCTTAAATTACACCAGTTTTGCCGTGAAAATCGGTTCATATAACTTGTAAGGATGCTTACCCGGACATTTTGTGTGCATTCCAGTATGGAGGTTTTCGGCCGTCCAGCTAGAGCCGGCGGTTCCTCGGAGTCTCCCACTGAGGGCACCTGGGTCCTGACCTCCGGACAGTTCTTTGTGAAGCCCGCTATATCCTCAAAGTAGGCAGTCATTTCCGCGGAAAGACTACCGGAGGAGACGTCAAGATTGTCAGGGGCAGGAGCAGCAGCGCCCCCTGTCACTGGTTCGGCCACAGGACGGCTTTCATCCAGTTGTAGAGGGGGTGACTTCGCAGACAAAAATAAACAAATTAAGTGAAGCAAGTGCAGTAAGTTAAGCGGAAAGGTGTCGCTCGAGGTGATCCGGTTACGAAGAAAAACATAACAGCAGGTATGTCGATGCAACCAGGGAAATGGCATCACGCATTTATTGCCGTCTTGTCTTTCTCATTATATAAGCACGCCATTTTGTCCCTGGCTCCGGTCCAGGCTTACACAGAGGGTCGTCTGTTCAGGAACAGTTGATAGCGCCGCAAGTACAATGACTCAGTAGACTCCAGGTTCAAATCACGGAGTTCCCGAGATTTCTATCACAGCAAGGTTGGTTGACTACAGAACCTGAACTAAGCAGTTCGTTTCAGTGGTGAAACAGATGTGAGCTTCTTGACCCAATAATTTCATGTCTGTTGATGACTTCCTTCCGCGCATGTTTGTCTCCTTTCGGGATCACAATACATAGAAGCCAGTATGCGAGTTCCAGGAAGCAGTTCAGAAAAAGAGGATGCGATCACTAGAACAAAAATTTTTATTTTTACGACGTTTCGGTTTCTGTCGAGAATCGGTAGTCATAAGTTACCATAGAATGGTGTGTGACATGTGCACAGGCCAGAAGCAACCATCAGGTGCCGGGTTGTGAGACCGAAAGACCCACTGTTCCGGCAGGAAATGGCTGAAGTCGTTTACCGCATCTGGTGCAGTTATGGACAAAGCAACTACGTCGGAGAAAGCAGGAGATTACTCCGGACGGGAATGGCCGAGCACGCAGCGGCGGTGAGAGAGAAAGACGCCAACGCTCAGGATAGAGCTC